TTCCAGCCCCCTGCCAGGCCTCCGGGTGCCGCCGCCACCGCAGCCGCGGGCCGGGAAGAGGGTCGCAGAAACGCCCCGGGAGGGCAGAGCGGAGGCGCCGGGACCCTGGGCGGTCACTCCCCCGCTGAGTCCCAACTTTCTCAGGAAGCTGTAGTCACAGCCACCACAGTCAGAGCCGCCTGCCTCCTGCCTCGGAGCCCTTACACCTGTGGGGTGGGCCCTGTTGTCACCCACCCCCATTACAGATGAGGAAACTCAGGCACAGTTCGTAAGTGACTTGATTTCTTTCGGTCACGCGGGTGGAAGGAGTTGCTCTGGGATTTGAACCCAGTTCTTATCTGATGGTCGAGCCCCCTGCATCCGCTTCAGGGATACTGGGGACCTTCAAGGCTAAGGCATGGTCCAGCTGGGCTCTCTGGGTGCAGCAGGAACCCAATAGTAAAAGTGGGCGGTGTCACTATCAACCAGGCGCTCCTGCCCAACCCTGCCCCACGTCACTGAGGAACCCTGCGAGACCCTCTGTCCTGTAGCAGTGACAGCTGTTAACTGCCCCAGTTGGTTCAGCAACTCTCTGCTCTGCTGGGCCCCGGTGGGGAGTGGGCGTTGCTGGGCACCGTGACCCTGGGGTGGTTGCTGGGTAGAGATCCGGCCCAGGTGAGCTGGGAGGGGTGTCCGCCCTGCCGGAGCCTCACCACCAGTGCCAATATTTGCCAAGGGCCTGAGACCTGACACTTGAACAGGAAAGTGAGAGAGGCTGGTGCCAGTCAGCAGCTGGGAGGCTCCACAGGGCCTGTGTGTAGCCCTGGGCTGAGGGTTGGAAGCTGGGGGACACCATGACCTGGGCCAGGGTACCTGCTGACTTTTGCTTTCATGATTTTTGCTGTATGACTTTGGCCAAGTCCTTTATCCTCCTTAGACTTCTGGTCTCTTCTTTGGAAAATACAGGGAGGCTGGGCTGACTGCTCCCTTCCTGTTCTGGTCTTTGTAAATCTGGAGCTCGGTTAGTTCCTTCTTCCCAGCCCTGAGGGGCACCCTCTAGGCTCCTGGACTGAAAGCACATTTCTCCTTATCACTGGATGGGGCTGAGTGCCCTGTACACCCCTGACCCTGCTAGGCCTGCTCTGGGCCTCCAGGGCAGCGGCTGTGTCTCTAGCATGGGCAGTTCCTCACACTGAACCACACCTGCCTCCCTGCACGACTCGGAGATCCCACTCTTTTCTGAGGCCACATGGGTCCATCTGCCGCTGGTCCTAGTCAGTGTCATCCGGGTCATCCACTGCAGCTGGACCTTTTATATTCTTTTTAAGAAATAAGCCATGGAGGGGGCCAGCCAGTGGCATGGTGGTTAAGGTGCTAGATCCCACATGGCTGACTGCACAGTTCGAGTCCCAGGTCAAATGGCTCGAAAACTCTCCAGGCTTGTGTGTGCAAGTGCCCAAGCTCCTGCAAGGAGAATGGAGCAGAAGGGATTGTGGTGTGGCCATTCCCTGTGTGGGGTGCTTTCTTACTTTCCTTCTCTCTCTGTCTCTGTCTCTGAGCATGTGTCCCCTATAGCAAAAGCTTAACAAAAAGAGAAACCATGGTAGAGACTATTGAAGCCCCTCTTCCCTCCGTCCCTCTCCAGAGATAATTCCCATCCTGAATTTATCATTTCTCTGTCTTTAATTTTCTTGCTGAGTGTAAGTCTAAAGATATGGGGTTCTTTAAAGTTGTGTATAAATGGAGTTCACAGCATGTGTCATTCTACAACTTGGAATTGCTCACACAGCATCGGGTCTCAGATTTAGCTGTCTTGATCCTGCAGCTTGGGTCCCCTCTTGCCCTGATGTGTGATATGCCACCCTGTGTGGAGCCCTCATTTATTTATTATTTATTAGTGAACGCTGAGGGGGTTCCCAGTGTCTCACTATTGAAAAGCCAATGTTCTTGTGTGGTATCCTGGGCACTTAAAGGCAAGTGTTTTTCTGTGGCTCTCCCTTGTCGTGGAATCCCTGGGTTTTGGGACATGTGCCTCAATCTTTTTTTAAAAAAATATTTATTTCATTTTATTTATTATATTTTGAATTTGATCAGAGACAGAAAGAGAAAGTGAGAAAGTAAGCTGCCAGGTCTGGGACTCGAACTGTGGTCAGCCAACTGTGACAGCTGTCGGCCCTGCGCCTCAATCTTTCAAAGTTATTTAGTTTCACTATAAAATTAGTCCAACTCAATTAAAGAAATGGTGGTAAAGTAGAATATTAGAAACTATAATAATCACTAACATTTTCCGAGTACTTCGTTTTGTGTTTTACACGAGGAAACCAAGGGACACAGAATTAAAGAACTTTCCCGGGAACTGGTAGTTAGTGTAATGGCTATGTCGCTGGACTCCCACGTAGTCGACCGCAGTTCACGTCCCGGACGCGGTGGCTTAAACTCACGCCGGGCGCGTGTGCGTGCGTGCCCAAGATCCCGAGAGGAGAATAGAGGAGAAGGGATTGCAGCGTGACCATCCCCCCGGGGGGTGATTTCTCGCTTTCTGTCTCTCTGTCTCTCTGTCTGTCTGGCGAGTGCACGCGCCCTATAGCGAAAACCTCTCCAAAAAAACCCAAAAAACAAAAAGAACTTTCCCAAGGTTATTCAGTAAGTCATTGCTGAGCTGAAGCTGAGTCCAGGGTGTCTGCTTTCAAAGCTCTCAAAGGCCACACTGCGCTAGGTTATGCAGCTCATTCCATGTCACATGGTACTTGCTTAACATGCAGGTTAGGGGGCCTCTGGAACCAGAATCACACTTATGTTTGCAATTTAGAAAGGCCATTTTGGAAGTGACTGATCCCAGTGGGCATGTTACTTTGCTTTTTGAGGCAAAACTCCCCCAGAATGGTGGAGCAGGCCTTAAAAGTCAGCTCTGACTAGGATCTGCTCTGAAAGGCTTTGTTCTGTCCCTCGCACCCACCTCTCCCTGCCTGGGCAAGGCTAGGCGGGTTTGGGGCCTGCTTCCCAGGTGGGAGGGTAGCGATCTAAGCAGTCTGCTTTAGGAAGTGATGAGGAGGGGGATAGTGGGGCAGTTCCAGGCTGCCTGATGCGTTACCCCTGCAACCCTTTGTCATCTGGGCCTCGTGTGTGGGTGGACTCTGAATCGGAGAGCCTCACCACTCTGCCAGAGCCCCTGGTCAGTCATCCTCCTCCTCCGTGCTCCGTCCCACTGGTGCCTCCATGCCTGCTCCTCCGCCCCCTTGGCTTCCCCAAGGCACAGTGGAGAGGCCGCCATCACCACAGGAATATTTGTCCCCTGGGCCACCAAGATACTCTGGAGCAGAAAGGCCTTGAAGACACAAGGACAGCCTGTGGAGAATTGGGGGCCTCAGTCACAGCCAGGGGAGGGGACAGGTTTGGTGCGCTTGCCTGTGTGGAAGGTATTGCTGACCTCTCCCAGGATCCTGCCTCCACCTCCCCATCATCCATGCCCATAAGAGCTGCTGCTGGGAGGAGGGTTGAGTGAGACTGCAGTCTGGATTCAGATAACCTGCAGCATGTTCTCTGGATAGGGATGGGTGGTTATTACTGCCATTAATAAGATGCATGGAGCTGGGACCAGGAGATGGCACAGTGGTTACGTTGCTGGACTCCCACTTTGTCGACCATGGTTTGAGTCCCAGACCCAGCCACTTAAAACTTAAGCTGGGCACATGTGCATGCATGCCCCAAATCCCACATGGATACTGGAGGAGAAGGAATTACAGCCTGGCCATTCTCCCAGAAGGTGATTTCTCACTTTCTGTCTCTTTTTCTCTCTGTCTCTGGTGTCCATATGTGCCCTATGGCAAAAATCTCTCAAAAGAGAAAGGAAAAAGAAAAACAAACACATGGGGCCTAAGCTCCCAGGAAGCCCCTCCTCCCTCCCCATTTAGCAGGCTTTCCAGGCCTCTTCTTCCTGTTTCCCCAGACTGCCTGTGCCCTGGCTGTGGTGTCCCATCTCCAGTTTTTCATGCACTATTTCCCCTTCCCAGACTTCTTTCTCCATTTCGTCCTCCAGTCAGCGCTATCTTCTCCAGACAACTTCCTTGAGTGTCCCAGCCTGGCTTAGGGGCCTCTTCTGGGCCTTTCCAGCTCCTAGAGGTCCCTGTGATCATGGCCCTGATCCTTCCCTAGACAGCGAGCTCCTCTGGGCAGGCCCAGGTCTGTGTCCAGTCTCTCTCCAGAGCCTGCCCCAGGCCTGGCCCAGAACAGGAGATCTGTGAGTGTTTGTGGGAGGAAGGCAGGAAGAAATCAGCCCAGGCCTGCTCCAGTCCGGGGGGAGTCAGTGCAGACCCACCTCTCTCCAGCTAAGCAGAAGAGGTGCTGGGGCTGGGAGGGAAGGGATGTGCACCTCCCCACCGTCTGCCAGCAGGCTGTGGCTTTCGTCCTGGTAGACCCAGTGGGCAGACATGGGAGGCAGGCTTTTGGCTCTGGAATTGTTTAGAGGTGGCATAAGCCATGGCAATGAGCTTGACTCCCTGGGGTGAGCTGATGGGCACTGGCTCAGGCAGAAATGGTTTGAATTGGGACCAGCAGTTGGTATAATGGCTATGTCGCTGGACTCTCATGTAGCTGACCGCAGTTTGAGTCCTGGACCTGGTGGTTTAAACTCACACCAGGCACATGTGTATATGTGCGTGGCCAAGAGAGGAGAAAGGAGGAGAAGTGATTGTGGCGTGGCCATGTCCAGGGAGGTGATTTCTTGTTTTCTGTCTCTCTCTGTCTCTCTGGTGAACACACACGCCCTATAAGAAAAACCTCTAAAAAAAAAAAAAATTAACAAAAAGAAAAGAAAAAAAAATGGTTGGAACCCATAGTTGGGATTGTGGCCTTGGCCAAATCACCTCTCCTCTGTGCCTCAGTTTCCCCTTCTGCGGTGAGAGTAATGCTCTCATTTCATGGGACATTTTGAGGGTTCGAGGAGAGAATGCTAGTTGAACACCTAAAACAGTAAGTGCCTCTTCGGTGGTTTCTTCAGTGATGAGTGGACTGAGCACCAGTCACTAGGCTGTGTCCTGAGCACAAAGGGAAGCAGACATGTGAAGGATTGTTAAGTCCAGAAGTGACAGGGTCAGATTTTGTTGTTTTTGTTTTTAATTATCAAAGGGCACACACTTGCCAGAAAGAGGGGGAAGGGAGAGAAAGCACCCCCAAAGGGGGCATGGTCACACTGTAGTACTTTTCCTCCAATTCTCCATGTTTGGACATGTGGGATCCAGTTCCCTGTAACCACTAGGTCATGGGGTCAGCCCATGGTTTCTTGTTTTGTTTTGTTTTTGAGAGAGACTTTTTGCTCTAGGGCATATGCTTTTGCTGGAGAGACAGAGAGACAGAAAGCAAGAAATACCTCCCGGGGGGATGGACATGCCACAATCCCTTCTCTTCCATTCTCCTCTCAGGATTTTGGACACGCATGCATATGGGCCCACAGTGTTTTTCAAGCTGCCAGGTCCAGGACTCAAACTGCGGTAGACTAAGTGGGATCCAGTGGCATAACCATTATGCCATCTGGTGGGAAGCTGGGAGTTAGCCCTCTCCCCCACATGTAAATCTGGGATCCTGCCAGGGCGACAGCCTCAGCCAAAGGAGACCGTATAGTAGTTCCAGTGAGAAAAAAAGGTTCCCTAGAAAAGTGTAAATGCTGGTTTTCCCTCACAAGAATCTTGGATTTGAATGCACATTACCTTTGTGCTCTTGGAACTAAAAGAGTAACTAAAGGAGTAACTTTAGGGCCAGTTGGTGGCATGCTAGTTAAAGTGGCTGGATTCCATATGGTTTAAATCCTGGCCTGGCAGCTTGAAAAAAAACAAAAAAAAAAACCCCACAAAGCACTGGGTGTGTGTGTGCATGTGCCCAAACCCTTGGGGGAGACTGGAGGAGAAGGGACTGCAGTGTGGCTGTCCTCCTGGGGGTGCTTTCTCACTTTCTCTCTCTCTCTCCCTCCCTCTCTGTGTCTCTGCCCCTCTCCAGCAAGTATGCCCTATAGTGAATTTTTTAAGAGTAACCTAAGTGATCTCAGTGTAGTAGACCAGGGGACCTGGCTGAGGCTCCTTTTCTGGAAGAACGCATCCTCCCAAGGTCCCTTTGGGGTCAAACACAAGCTTGATAAAATTACAAAACATGCAAAGAAATAAGCCGCTGTGAATGACAGACACTCACAACAACAAAGAGCAAATTAGGTTCCCCCAGAGCCTAAACTGCTAGCATTGTGAGAGATAGAATAAAAATAATTGCATTTAAAATGTGTGCAGATGGACTTGAAACAGTAAAATACTACCCCAAATAACCACACAGATTTTTTTTAAGAGGTTTTTGCCTTAGGGCGCATATGCTCACTGGAGAGGGGGGGGGGAGAGAGAGAGAGAGAGAGAGCGAGTGAGATAGTGAGAGAGGTAGTGAGAGAGAAAGTGAGAAATCACCCCCCAAGGGGGGATGGCCACACCCCAATCCCTCCCCCTCCCCCCCCACAATTTTCAAGAGAAATGAAGTATAGAATAAAAAAGATTGGGCCTGGGGACCAGCAGGTGGTGTGGTGGTTAAGGTGCTATACACTCCCACATGGCCGATCACGGTTCATGTCCTAGATCTGACGGCTTGCCTTCTCACTTTCTCTCTCTTCTTTTTTTCTCTCTCTGCCTCTCTGTCTCTCTGATCAAATTAAAATAAAGGAATGAATAAATCTAATTTAAAAAATAAAGATTGGGCCTGATGGTGGTGGCTCAGCAGTAAAAAGTGACACTGGGAGGCCGATCTACATGGGCAGGTTCTGGTTCAAATCCAGAGACCTCCCTCTATACTCCAAATGCCCCGTGTCCCTGACCCTGGCTGGCTGGAGGTTGGCAGTGGGTTGCAGCATCAAGGCCCTGTTAGAGGTGCTGTTTTTTTCTGTGCGTTTCTGTCACTCATGGAAAAAATAAACTTCATGGCCGATCACGGTTCATGTCCTAGATCTGACGGCTTGCCTTCTCACTTTCTCTCTCTTCTTTTTTTCTCTCTCTGCCTCTCTGTCTCTCTGATCAAATTAAAATAAAGGAATGAATAAATCTAATTTAAAAAATAAAGATTGGGCCTGATGGTGGTGGCTCAGCAGTAAAAAGTGACACTGGGAGGCCGATCTACATGGGCAGGTTCTGGTTCAAATCCAGAGACCTCCCTCTATACTCCAAATGCCCCGTGTCCCTGACCCTGGCTGGCTGGAGGTTGGCAGTGGGTTGCAGCATCAAGGCCCTGTTAGAGGTGCTGTTTTGTTCTGTGCGTTTCTGTCACTCATGGAAAAAATAAACTTAAAAAAAAAAAGTCTACAGGAAAGAGAGGAGTAGAAGATTCCTACCTTCTGAGAGCTTCTATGTCAGTGAGGGAGACAGACAGTGGACACAAAAGTCCATACTTAATCTTCTACGTCAGAGAGCGGTAAGAGCTATAGAGAAACTAAAGACTGGGAGGGGGACAGATGTATTGGAGGTGCCACTGGAAGGTGTCACTTGAGTATGAAAGGCCCTGGGTGCCCCGCAGCTCATTGTGACAGGGTCTGAGTTCTAGAGTACGGGTCTGGGGGCAGGAGATCTGGAGAAGGAGGGAGAGAGAGGGACTGAAGTGGGATTTGGTGGGTGGGCTGTGCCCCCTGGGGGGGCAGCAAAGCCCAATGGGTCAGAAGGGCCACAAAGACTCCCTTCACCCTCGTGGAGGGTAAGATAAATCTGTTTTGAAGGCCTCCTTGCTCCTTATCCATGGTGTCTCTGTCCCCTCCATCAGATCTCAGATGACACCCTCTTCTGCTCCTCCCACCCTTGGGGACACCAAGAGGTGGATCCAAATTATCTCTGTGTTCCCATGTGGAGTGGGCATCCTGAAGGAGCTTCTGACAGGCACCCAGGGCCGACCAGAGAGGTTGAGTGGGCCCTGGAAGGAGGGGCCTGTGGGCCCCAGGGTCACCCCATGTCTCTCCCTCAGGACCCCCGTGAACAGCCTCCATGAGGCCCTGGACCAGTGTATGACCGCCCTGGACCTCTTCCTCACCAACCAGTTCTCAGAAGCACTCAGCTACCTCAAGCCCAGGTGAGGCCTAAGCCAGTGTTGGGGGACAGGGTATGGGAGCATGCAAATGTGTGTACAGGGATGGGCGTGTTGGGCTGTGAGGAACCAGAGGTCTTGTGCAAGAGGAACCCTGTGTGACTGAATGCCTTCAGCTCTCTGAGTCACTATGACCCCTGAGAAGTTCCATGGAAATGGTTCAGGCTCCCCATCCTACAGCCCTGAGGCAGGCCCTCTCCAAGGACCCGTGACTTCTTCTGTCTCTGTCTCAGGTCCCTGAGGCTTGCTTGCACTTTGATTTCTTGTTCCCACTGAATCCACTTGGGGTTCCCCCTCTCCTTTGTTCATTTTGCCCCAGAGAACTGAAGCTGTGAGTTGTCACTTTACTCAGCATTTTAGGGTAATAATGAGGGTTACTCGTTCAGCCAGTTCCTCTTGTGAAGATTTCTAAATAATACACTTACACTGATTTTTCTTTACTTACCACTTTTTGTTTTTTCAGGTTTTAAAACTGAGATATAATTCACATTAATAAAATCTACCCCTTTTGGGGCTGTAGTGCAACAGTTAAGCTCTGTGTATGAGGAACTAGATCCCACATGGCTGATCGTGGTTCGAATCCAGGCCCTAATGGGTTGAAAAACACACCAGGGGCATGTGTGTGCCCGAGATCTCAATAGATGGAGAAGTGGAGAAGGGATTGCAGCAAGACTGCCCCACTTACGGGTGCTTTCTCTTTTCCTCTGTCTCATCCGTGTCTCATTTTTCTCCTTCCCTCCCTCGCTGTCTCTCTCTGGTGAGCACATATGTCCTCTGGCAATACTTTTTTAAATTTACCCCTTTTACACATATTGCCTTTTTTATTTTTACGTTGCTATAGGGTACATGCACTTGCTGGGGAAAGAAAAAGAGAGAGGAAGAGGGAGAGAGAGAGAGAAAGTGAGAAATCACCCCCAGGGTGATGACCAGGTGGCAATCCCTTCTTCTCCGTTCTCCTCTCAGGATTTTGGGCACGTACAGACATGCACCTGGTATGTTTTTCAAGCCACTGGGCCCAGGCCTATAACTGCACCGTCAACCAAGTGGGACCTAGCTGCCTTAACCAGCACACCACCGGCTGGCCTCAGTTTATCCCTTCTAAACATCTACTGGTAGAATTTAACTTTCTAATGCCTCTGCCCCAGCTCCCTTCCTCATCCCCCTCTTATCATTATATCACATGGGCTAAATCTACGCCCCATGTCTACATTACTCTAACTTTGTAATTAAATGCTCATCGCAGGGACAAGTCATGCATCAGATCTGTTTCCTTTCTAAAATTAATAATTGTCACGTTTTTTTCTTTTTTTTCTGTTTTTTTTTTTATTATTATTATTATTTTTTTTTTTGGAGAGGTTTTTGCTATAGGGCATGTGTGCTCACCAGACAGACAGAGACAGAGACAGAAAGTGAGACTTCACCCCCCAGGGGGGATGGCCACACCGCAATCCCTTCTCCTCCATTCTCCTCTCGGGATCCTGGGCACACATGCACACATGCCTGGCGTGAGTTTAAGCCACCGGGTCTGGAACTCAAACTGCGGTCGACTACATGGGAGTCCAGCGACATAGCCATTACGCTAACTGCTGGTCCCGTATAATTGTCACGTTTTTCATTTCTCTAGTTTGCTGTCACTTTATCCTTAATTAGTTATAGCGTTCCATCAGATCTTCCTGTCCACTTATTCCCCAAATGCTCAAATGTATCAGCTCTCAGTCCCTCCCTTTCCTGGAAACCTGCCCACTGGCCACCTCCTAGCTGTCTCCCCTGCTTCTCTCCTATTTCATGAGTCCCGGCTCTTTTTCTTTTGTCTCCTCTCTCACTTTACCAGAGCATGTATTGTAGAAATTTCCAAAGAAACAGTTGTGTGGGGAAAAATAAATAGATAAATCTACATCTATGTATCAATATTTATCTATCTACCTATCTAGTTAGAGGGCATGTACACATACCAGAGAGAGAGAGAGGGAGAGAGGAGAAAGCACCCACCACAGGGTATGGTCACATCCCTTTCTCCACCTCAATTTCCTTTCAGGATTTTGGGCATGCATACCATGCACTGGCATGTTTTTCAGGCCACCTGGTCCAGGACTTGAACTGTGGGGTTGACCATGTGGGATCCAGCAGCTTTGACCACCAGGCGACAGAGCCCACCCACATTAATATTGTTTTTTCACTCAGAATTTTGGAAGCATTTCTCCTTTATTTTCTAGCATCTTCTGTAACTGTAAAAACTTTAATTAAAACAAAATTTATTTGATTATTTTAGGGTTTTGCCATAAGGCATGTGCACTTGCTAGAGAGAGACAGAGAGAGAGAAGGAAAGTAAGAAATCACCCTGCAGGAGGATGGCCACGCCACAATCTCTTCTCCTCTATTCTCCTCTCAGGATTTTGGGCACTCACACACATGGACCTGGCATGATTTTCAAGACATGGGTCCAAGACTCAAACCACAGTCAGACATGTGGGAATCCAGTGCCTTAACCACCATGCCAACTGCTGGCCCGGTTATCTCTGTAACTTCCTGGTGTTGGAAATATTCAAATCCCTCTCTTTAAGATATTTTAAAATATATAATAAATTATCACCTGTAGTCACCCTGTTGTGCTATAGAACACTGGGACAGGGGCTAGCGGGTGCTGTGCTGGTTAAGGCACTGGACTCCCGGTTCCAGTCCCAGACCTGACGGCTCGCTTTCTCACTTCCCCTTTCTCACTCTCTGGTCAAATAAAAAATTATAGTAACAACACATAAAAGAAAAGAACACTAGAGCATGTTTTTTCCACCTAATTATAATCTGTACCCATTAACCAATCTCTCCTTGACCCCCTCACTTCCCTTTCCAGCCTATGGTAATCTCCATTCGATTCTCTACTTCCACGAGATTAACTTTTTTCTTCTTATTTTGTATCTATTCCTTCTCTGGAAATGTTTAGGATCTTTGTTTTTATTCCTACCGTCGTAGAGTGCCACCGAATGAACTACCACCAATGCCAGATTAAGGTTAAAGGGAGTCTTTATTAGCTGGTCAGCGACTACAGTCTGAGGCTCGGGTTTGGGGGATGGGGGCCACTGAGAGTCAGAACTGCATCCCCGACTGAGGTTTGAGTAGTTTTTCTATAGGGGGTCAGTTACTAGGGGTTTCTATGTAAGCAGATACAGAAGCTGAATCAAGCAGGTTAATTATTTCTGAGGGGAGTGGGGTTTCCATGCAAGCAGTTACACTGCTAAACAAAAGGGTTTCGGGCTGGTTAGCAAAGACAGTAGCAGGTACAGGATGTCGTCCAGGATACAGTTTTCTGTACGGCTAGCACGAGCTATTTTCTCATGGGAAGAACAAGCAGGTTTACAGAAGCAGACAGCCATGTTAGCGTAAGGAAACAAAAATGGACAAACAGTTGTTCATGTGTAAGATCTAATATGCGGCCTTCCACACTACGAATGTGGAATTCCACAGTCATGTGCTGGAATGAAGACTTTTGTATGCTGCATTTTGACATGGAGACTCTCCATTCTAGGAGATTTTCTTATACCCTCCCTCCATCTTCGTTTCCCCTTCCTGGACTTCCTCTAAGTCAGGTATTGGACTTCCTGGATCAATCTTCTTCTTTTTTTGGATCAATCTTTTTTAAAGCCCCTTAGCTTTCCTCCTATTTTTTTTTTTTTTTAGTTTTAGTTTTGTTTTGTTTTGTTGAGAGGTTTTTCCTATAGGGCACGCGGGCTCACCAGAAAGACAGGGACAAAGCGAGAAATCACCCCCCCAGGGGGGGATGGCCACGCGCAGTCCCTTCTCCTCCATTTTCCTCTCAGAATCTTGGTCACACACACACATGCGTCCAGTGTGAGTTTAAGCCACCGGGTCCGGGACTCAGACTGCGGTCAACTAGATGGGAGTCCAGTGACATAGCCATTACGCCAATTGCTGGTCCCAATCTTTCCTCTTTTTATTACATTTCTTTATTTTTCCTCTGATTTTTGGGAGATTTCCTCAGCCTTATCATGAAATTTTTCTATTAACTTTTTATTTCTCTTTTTAGTTTTTACTGTAGGGTACATGCACTCACCAGACAGAGAGAGAAAGTGAGAAAGCACTGCCCAGGGCAATGGACACTCTGCAATCTTTTCTCCTTCCTCTCCTTTTGGGATTTTTGGGCACATACACATGCCCAGCATTTTTTGGTTTTGGTTTTGTTTTGTTCTTTCAAGCTGCCAGGTCCAAGATTCAAACCACTCAGCCATGTGGGATCCAGCTGCCTTAACCACCACACCACTAGCTGGGTGGACTGTTCTTTATTTCTGTCAGCACTACACCCTCTGTAATCACATGACAAGTTTCCTAGTATGCACTTTTGCTATCTGAATGCCCTTTCTTCCCTGTGTCATCTTATTCTTCGTTCATGGAGGAACTGTCTCCTTTATATCTAGATTTGGAATATGAGGCCCTTGGGACAGGGCTGGGCATGTGGTAGGCTCTCTAATAAGTATATATTATTATTGCTATTCACACAGAACAGTGTCTGTTTTAGTTTTTTCCCTGCATAACTTGCTTTCTCCAGGTTTCTGTTTCTGTTTAATGGTGAGAATCCTCTTCTCATGGGGGCTTTCCTTGAATATGTGATGATCCCAGGCTGTCTTCTGATCATATTTTAAAATGAGTTCACTCAGAGGCCAGCTGGCAAGTTCATGCAAAACAGACTTGTAGTTGGGGGGTTGGCTATGGGACGATCCAGCAGGGCAGGGATCTGGCCCCCAGATGTCAGCATCTGGAGCGGTTCGGCTTCTCCAGAGACAGTCTCCATTTCTAGGCCTTGACGGGGAACGGCCTGCCTGAATTCTAATCTGGGAGACCGTGGGGCCAGGAGTCCCGTCATATCCACTGCCTCCTGCCCTTAGTGCCCCTCCTGTCAGCTCTAGGTTGTCCCCTGCACCGCCATCCCTGGTTCCCCCAGTCCCAAGCAGAGCAAAGGCCAAGGCGTGGGGACA